AAAGTCTGAATATAAAAGTCTGAGTCCGGTCCGAAAATCAGACCAGACTCAGACTTGACTAAAGTCTGGTTCGGGTCCGGTCCGTAGGAGCACTACTTTAGAAGTATCTGGAATGGATGCTTACAATGACCTTATAGATAATAGAAATGTTAGAACCTTCGCCTATCTTTTGAGGGCTTCATTACTAACAAGGGCCCCTGTGTCTTTAGCTCCGATGACTGAAGAGGTTCTTCAAGGTATCGTAGAAATGGTTTTCCTGCTGGACAGTTGCATCCCCAGTTATGCTTAGTAATGAATGCCCAAAAAAAGAAGGGTGAAGGTAGATTTGGGTTTTTAGATTTGTTTTTTGTTGGAGATGGACAGTGCATGAGCATTGAGCTCAAGTACATATCTACAGAAAGGTTATTAAGAGCAATGCCTAGAGAAAAAAAAATTATTTCGATACATTAGAGCATGAAGGGATGGGGTGAAAAAATGAGGAGGCTTTATTGAAGATACCATATAAATATTATTCTATTGATGACAGAAGATATATCAAAACCTCTGTTAAAGTGATTTTGGAAAATGGGGTAAAACAATTGGAGTCTTATATTAAAGTTATCGAAAAAGGCAAAGTTACTAAGTATACTGATCCGGGCATCTTTGATGACCATATAAATACCATAAAAACAAACAAACCATGTATTATACATGGATTCGTTGTTATGGTAATTGGATTTCGGGTAGTATTATGGAGGAAAGTAAATGGATTATCTCAACACGAATACTTTAAAGTTTAAAATAGTTCTTTTTCTCACAAACTTAACAAAAGATTCAAATCGTTTATTATAAATAAAATATCTCATGTTTAATATTTTTCAATTCTTTAAATTTATATAAATATATAATGGTCGCTCTCAAGCGTCAACCTCAATGTGATTAGCAAGTGATCATAATAGCACTCAAGCAGAATTATATTTACAAAAAATTTTTGGCGAAAATTTGAATAAGCAATTTATGACATAACTGTAATCTTCTCAAACATCAATTTCAATGTGATTAGTGAGTGATCGTACTGGTGCTCATTTATTACGATCAATCAAAACAACCATTGAAATCAATATTTTGAGCAGTCCCCTATTGATTTCTATTAATTGTCAAATGTCATCATCAAAAATTAAAAAAAAAAACAAACAAAAAAATAAACCAAAAAAATTAAAAAAACAAAAGATAAAAATAAAAATAAAAATATTAATAATAACAAAAAAATTAAAAATAAAAAACAAATAAAAAACAAAAAACAAAAGTGTCTATCTAAATTATCGAAGCATCAACTTCAGTAGTTTCTAGTACTCCATTCGCTGATTTACCAACTATAATGACGGAATAGTTGAATTTGTTATCATTTGAGCGAAAACAAAGAGATGGTAAGTATTTGATATTGGTCGCTCTCAAGCGCCTCAATCAATGAGTCAAAAAGTGCCTGGGAATAAATTTTACTTAGCGGAAAATATTTAAAATTAATTAA